CTATAGTGTGTGGCATCGATTTTGAGGATGGGTGGACAGAGCAGGGTTCTGGGGTGACAGGCAGATCTGGATCCCAAACGCAGCTCACTCACTCCCTGTACTGAACTCAGGTAAGTCACCTCACCCGTCTGAGCCTCAGTTTATATGGCTGTACAATGGACATGATAGGATAGTGATTCTGATCTGCAGAGTAACTGTGCAGCAAAGAAATGGAGACAGAGTTGGCTCCACCCTGAGCCAGTGGGTGGGACTGGGATAGAGCCAAGGCTGGCCCCTACCTCGGTGGGCTTTCAGCTCTGTCCCCAGCCCACCTCTCATCCAGCGGTGTCACCCTCCACTTTAAATTTGTATCCAAGAAATAGATGAATAACATTTTTAAAGTCTTAAATGATACCACAGGTTAGATCATGAAAACCACAGACCTCCCACCCCCTTCCTATAGCAAAGACCCAGAGAAAAACCACTTTTTATGACTTCCGCTGGGTGTGTTTTGTTTTTGTATTTACCTCTGTGTTTCTAAACACTTGGCCTATGTTACAACTTTTTATTTTTTATTTTTTTATTTATTTTATTTTTTTTCCTTTTTGTCTTTTCTCATGTCCGGCAACAGACCGCAACCCTCAGTGTCGCGCCTGTACCGGACTGGGACCGGCAACGGGATCGCAACCCACGGTGCTGCGCCCGCCCCTCGCTCAGCCAGTGAGCAGGAACCAGTCTGTGTGTGGGATCCGAACCCTCGGTGGGAGCGCAGCTGCCACCGGGCCGGCCCCAACTTTTTATTTTGAAGCTTTACACAATATGTATCAACTGTCCACCCTGAAAGAGAGGATTTAGTTCTCGTCCAACATCCTTTCATCAAAAACACTTCCCTTCCCCAACACAGTTATCTCACCTTTATTTTTTCTTTTTGGAAAAATAATGTTGATTGCTGGTATATGTGTGTGAAAATGTCATTCACAGCAGAGCCACGGATGTCCTATGCTTATACAAATGCTCCTCAACTTACGGTGGGGCTACGTCCTCACAAACCCATCATAAGTGGAAAATGCATTTAACACACCTGACCTACCGACCATCACAGCTTAGCCTAGCCTGCCTTAAATGTGCTCAGAACACTTACATTAGCCTACAGTTGGGCAAAATCATCTCACACATAGCCCATTTTATAATAAAGTGTTGACTATCTCTTGGAATTTATTGAATGCCGCACTGAAAAACAGAGTGAACATGTGGGTACTCAAACTACGGTTTCCACTAAATGTACATCGCTTTTGCACCATTATAAAGTCGAAAAATCCTGAGTCAAACCATCCTAAGCCGGGATAACTCTTTTCCAGCATAACTCTTTTCCACCTGGACATAACAGGATTCTCACGGTTTCCCTGGCTAGTGTTCTAGGCAGGGTCTTACCAGTCATCTATGGAGTCCAGTGAGCTGGGGACACGGGTGTCCTCTCGGGATCCCCTTTGTCATCAGCCCTGGGGGGGGGGGGCTCACCTCCTTGCTGTGTCCCATTCTTCCTTTGTCTTGATCCACGTCCCGGTTTTGGTGGCGCGCGCCCTCCGGTGGCGTCCTGAGGAAGGGTGCGTGGGCCTTTGCGCAGCGGTGGGCGTCTGGGTGGGAACCTGTCTGCCTGGCGTTTTGCAGGAACGGCTCCTCCGCCTTGCAGTCTCCGCTACTGCTGCTGAAAAAGCAGATGATGTTCCCATTTTTGATACTTGAGCGTGTTTTCCAGGTGTGCTGGAGGCCATGTGAATCTTCTCTGGATCCCCAGTGTCCTCAATTTCCTTAGTGGTGTCATGTGACATTTCTGCAATTTTTCCTCTTCTTCTGCTGGAAACTTGGACTATTTGATCTGGAAGCTCAGGTCTTTCGGTTCAGGCTAAGTTCCAGTTTTTCCTGTTTGTTTCCATTTATTTCCTCACTTGCGTTTTTCTGCTGTGTATCTCCTATTAGCTAACATTGTAGCTCCTGGACTGAGCCTCTAACTTACTTTTCTCTGTTCTCCCGTTTTCCAATCTTGGTCTCCCTTGTTTTTCTCTGGGCAACTTCCCCAATTTCCTCTCCTACTCCTCCTCTTGAGACGTTTCTTTCTCATTTCTCCCCGGGCACCGATGTCCCGAGCCCTCTCCGCCCGGACACCCGCGCCCTCCCTGACCCGTCTCTCAGCTCCGCCGGTCTCAGCAATGTCTCTGCTCTTTGCATCAGTGCTCGACTTCACGTTGTTTTTTCCGGTTGTTTCGTGTCTCTCCCATCACAGGCTCTCTCTACGTGTCGATGGCCCTCGTCTGTGCTTTCGCAGTTAACAGTGAGGAACCGTGCTCTCCCTGGACCATCAGCCTCACCCTTGCAGCCCGCCTCCCTCACTGCTGGGACAGGGCTTGCTGCTGGTTCTTTCTCTCTAATCTTCAGGCTCATCCTTCCCTACCCAGATTCCAAATGTTGAAGTGCCCTAGGACATGGTCCTCGCTCGTTTTCTCCTCTCCCTGCTAAATGGCTTCATCCCTCACTGCGGATTTACATTTCAACTCTGTGCCCACAATGCCAGCTTTTATACCCAGCCCAGATTCCTCCTCAAGCTCGTCCATCTTATTGCCTGCCTGATACGACCTCCTGGACACCGAATGGACACAACACATACCACACAGTGGAGAATGCCTCTCTCCTGCCGCTCACCAACCTTCCCCCAGACCCCCTCACGGGCGAGAGGCACCCACTCCCTGGTGGCTCAAGTCAAGTTCTGGAGGCCATGCTTTCTTCCTCCTTTCCTCCCCCACCACCAATCCATCAGCAAGTCCTGCAGTTCCATCCCTGTGAGCCCCAGACCTGCTCATGTGTCACCTCTCCACTGCTCCTGTCCCAGGCTGTGGTGGCTGGGTGACTGCAACAGGCTCCCAGCCACTCTCCCCACTCCGAGCATCCTCCTCAATCAATCCAACCTCTAGGGAAGATTTTTAAAACACTAATTTAATTATGTCACTGTCATGTTAAAAACACCCAGTGTCTTTCTCTCCCAAGGCTTACAGGGCTCTGTGAGAGCTCCCAATCATTGTGTCATCAAAGGACCCCAGTCATATTGGATCAGGGCCACCTACATGACCTCATTAACCTTAATCACCTCCTGAAGGGCCCTGTCTCCAAACAAAGACACATTGGGGGCATTTTAAGAGGTCCATGACAACTTCCCTCACCACCCTGTATAAAATGTCCACCTCGATTACTTTCTATCCCTTTGCCATCCTTACTGCTGCTGCGTGCGACGGTCTTGTTTGTGATTTATTTACGTGTCTGCTTTACTGCTCTGCAAGCCAGTGGTGATGGGTCCCCACTGGACCCCACCCTGGCACTCAGCACGTGCCCAGCAAGTCTTTGTTGAACAGATATGCAAGTGAGTGGAGAGCCCTGGAAGGTGGGCAGGCAGTAGTGAGTGCCCCTTCAATTTTTTGCAACTCCTGGGCTATGTAGCCCTGGGCAGGTGACAGCCAGTATTCCAGCCTGAGGCTGCCACACATTTTCTCTATTCTCCCTGTGGGCAGGCTGGAGGTGGGAGCTCGGGTGTCCTTTGGAGGTGAGGCTGCTGTGTTCCCTGGCCAGAAGCAGCCATCATGGCTCTCAGACATAGCTCCTGCCCCTGCCTCCCAGTGGTGAAGACAGAGCTGACCCCCAAGGCCCGTCCCCCCCACCTGCAGCCTCCTCCCACTGGGAGCCCACAAAAGGCAGGGGGACCAGGAGTTGAGGGGCTAACAAAGACCCTCGGCTGGGAGAAAACGATGAGAGAGGCCAGAGCCACTGCAAGAGGAGGTGAGAGGAGCTGACCCCAGGCACATTGTGGAGCTGGAGGTCTTGTGACTCGGTGGAAAGGAAGCCAGATGACTCAGCTGCGCGAGCTGCTGGGTGACTGTTGGATCTTACGCTGAGACAGGAAGAAGGGGGTGGGGGCAGGCTTTCGGGGGTCCACTTTATCACATCACCCTAGTTACTTCTTTGAGGATTCATCATAGTCTGAAGTTCCCCAGTCAGTCTGGCTGTGCAGGAGCATGTCTTATCCTGAGCTCAGCCCCAGTCAATTTGGGGACTCAGGTGGGGACTCTACATTCCTTCCAGGCTCATGGGGCTTCTTGGCTTCACCGGTCCAGAAACCAAAACTGACTTATAGGCTGAGTGACCTCCTCTCTCTGAGCCTCAGTTTCCCCACTTGTAAAACAAAAAAAATAAAATCAGTCTTGCAATTTTGCTTTACAGACCAATAACGATTTATATCGACTGCTTTGCAGGGGGCCTGGCACACACAAAACATTGCTCACTGCAGCTGTGTGTCCTCGGGAGCTGATGGGATGAGAGGGAGCCAGTGGGGAAACCCCGATTAAGAGGTGGAGGCCACGACCTTTGGGGCTGTGACTTCCTTCCAGCCCCTCTGCTCCCAGGGACTCTTGAGCTTCAAGAACACTGAGGTTTGTGGTGAGCCCTCAGCCAAAAAGTTCTCCTCAGCCCTGCTCCCTCCAGGGCTCTGCCCTTCTCTGTGCCCAGCACGGCCCCAGCTGGTGACTTGTTGGAAGGAGCCTGGGAGCTTCCAGGCAGGGCTCACTGGGGGGGGTTCAGGCCCCGTGGCCAGCAGTGGAAAGGGGCCAGCCCCAGCTCAGAGTAGCACCTGTGCCAGTGGCTCCTGGATACCGTCCTCTGGGGCTGCTGTGGCTTTGGGGATCTCATCCAGTCCTCTAAGATCTGGTCTCACCAGGAGCGGGACAGATGCTGCCCGCTCCTCCCCCCATGCCTTCCCCTTGCCTTTGGAGAGCTTGGGCCTCACCCAGGCCTGTTTATCCAGGGGCTTGGCAGGCAGCGCTCCACGGTCCCAGCAGTCTCGGGCTGCCTGCCACCCTGGAGCACCACAAAAGCCAGGGGCCTCGGCCGTGCCCAGTTCCAGGACTTGCTTTTCTGGAGGGTGGTGGGCAGGTGCCAAGAACCAGGGTGTGAGGGCCCCCACCCCAGTGAGGCCGCCAATGCACATTTGCTGTATCTTTATTGCACTTTTACCACATTGCAAACGATTCCACAGAGGCTGCAAAGGTGAACCTACTGCCGCGGTGCACAGCAGACCCTGTGTGGTGTATTTACATCAGCTGTCCAAAGGGAGAGGACAAGCAGAGCCCACTGCTGCCAGGGAACGTCCCGGGCTGCTGCTGCCTGCGACGATAAGACCAATAGTCACTTACATCACTCTGAAACCCACTTTTAAGTATCCATCTGCGACACATGGCCATGATGTCCAGCGGGAGCCTCCTCCCACCGTGAGACGAGACCCTCCAGCCTTCTAGTGCAAAGGCCCCGGGAAGGAGGAGAAAAAAGTTTTTATTTTAAATTAGGTCCAGAGTGTGAGAGCCCTTAACGGGTGAATTTGGCCAAGTAGGAGCCCCACAGAGCCAGCGGGGAGGACAGTCCTTGTATTAATTTGGTAGGTGATCTGTGGTCTGTATATATGTCTCTCTATTTATATACATATACACCATATATAAATACAAAATAGCAAATAAAGGCTTCCTTTCCCTACAAAAAGGATGGAATGCCTCTGCCGCTGGCCGCCTCTGTCTGTGAGCACAGACAGCACCTTCCTTCCTTTTTCTGGTCTCAAAAACTAACAAAAAGTGTCCTGTTAGACCTGCTGCAGACCTACCTCACCCTCCCCAGGGCCACAGTTCACCGACTGGGGGATGGTCCCATCCTGTCTCTGAATTCACTGAATTCACGATGTGGCACATGTGTGGTCGCTGTGAGGCTGTCTCCCTCCTCTTTCCTCAACGGGCACAGCGGGCAGCTGGCAGGTCACTACCTCTCGGGGGAGGCTCTGTGTTCAGTGTCCAGGTCATCTTCCACCACACTGTGGACGCCGTCCTTCTCGATGCAGTCCCGGACGGCCTGCAGCACAATGCGCAGCCGCCGGTCCAGGGCTTCCAGGTGCAGCCGGTACAGGACAGGTGCCACCTTATCCCTCTGCAGAGACTCTGCCATCAACAGGCTCAGCTTGTACTCCTCCTTGGCCAGGAGCTGCAGCCGCAGGTAGGTGGACTTCCTGATCCTGGAGGGGAGAGAGGAGATGCCTGGCCATCGGAAACCAGGGGCAGGGCAGCATTGTGGCTGCTGAGAGAGAGAGGGACAGAGAGAGAGAAACAGAGAGAGGGAAAAAGAGAGAGAGAGAGGAAAGAGACAGACAGACAGACATACAGACACAGAGAGGAGCCCAAAATCAAGTGCCTCATCAGTTGCTGAGCCATGTGACTGCTCAGGCCCCTGCCTCTCATCTGCATGAGGGATGCAGGTGCTGCCTTGCAGGGATGGGGTGCACATGTAACACCCCAGCAGTGCCCAGCAGGCATTCTGTGTGCCCAAGGCAGACACAGGGTGAGGACGACATCCTGCCACCTGGAAGACCATCCCCAGGTAGGCGCAGCATGTCTGTCTGGGCAGGCGGACACTGAGAAGTCTCTTTAGAGAAGTACAAACTGTTTGCACCACAGGCCTGTGTTCCCAACTGTAACAGGAGGGGAACCGGATAGGATAGCCCCATCTGAAGTGGCAGGGGGCAAAGCCTGGCAGCCACTGCCAACAGAGCAGGACCTTTGTGTCAAGCCAGTAATCTGTTCTAGGCCCCAGTGTCTTCATCTGGAAAATGGTCAGACATGGTTGTCACGAGCTTTGGGACCCTGCAGCTTGAGCTGGACAAGCATCAGGGTGGTGGACGAGGTGGGGCACATGAGCTGCTGTGCAGTGGGGTGAGGGTGTGTAGGATTCGGGGCTGTGGACACCTGCCTTCTCTGGTGTTACAGCCGGGGAGGGGGGTGTGAAGACTCTGGCCTAATCTGCCAGGGGCTCGCTGGTGGGGAGTGGGGTGGGGATGGAGCCAGGCTCCCGGTGGAAGCCGTACCTGCAGCACTGCTGTAAGGGCACCAGAATGGAGAGCTCATCGTGTGAGTATTTCCCAAACCTGCCAGGAGGAAAGTGGAATCGTCAAAGGGGCCACCTGTAGAAGGTGGCTAATGGGCTGCTGGACTTCAAGAGCTGCAGTGCTGGGCAGTGTGGCCTGGACAGTCCCCAGCACCCTGGGCAGTGTGGCCTGGCTCCTGCCTGTCCTCAGCACCCCAGGCAGTGTGGCTGGCCTCTGCCTGTCCCCAGCCCTAGATGTGGGGTCCTGGCCACTCGCCTGGGCTGAGGCACACCAATGACGGGTTCTGGGCAGCTGGGTCGAGATGGCACGAGGGAGGGTCATCACGGTTTAGCCACTGTAGCATCTTTTACACGGGGTACAGGTGATCCACGTGCATAAAGTATTTGAGTGTCCAAAGTGGATCCCTCTAAGTCATCTTTCATCTTTTTGGAATGGACATTCTCCTGCCTGAATTACTCACTTCCCTGCCTTATTAATCAGGGGTCACCCTCTCCTGGTGACCAGGGTCTCATGACACAGTCCAGAACTGCCCAGTTTAGGTCAGCGGTGGCTGTAGGCTGGGGCAGCGAGGACTGTCTGTCCTGACTAGCCAGCTCCAGGCCCCGAGTGGGGGTCGAGGACCCAGGTGCTCACCATAGCCCTGCTATTGTTGGCCAGCAGCCCCTTTGAGCCTCAGTTTCCCCAGGGTAACGCAGGGCCTAACAGGATGCACTGCACAGGGTTACTGTGAGAATTTGGTGATATAACGTCCGTCATAAACCAAGCACACTGTAGGGGCTCCGCTCCCGGGCAGCCCTCCCTTCCTGCCACGGGTGCCCTGTTGTGCCCCCAACTGGAGACCTGGGACAGCACCCTGCATCTCCCACAGGGATAGGCCTTTGGGGACATCCATGTCCCTTCCCACCGAGGGCCTGTTTCCTCCTGGGTCTGGGCTGGGCTCCAGCGAGGCGGGCGAGGAGACGGCCAGCCTTTCATGAGGTCTGAACAGGCTCACCCTCTCCCGTTGTCTAAGTGGATAATAAACGTTTCATTCCCAAACTTCTCAAAAGTCTCATAGTGGTGGCGGTCCATGTTTCCTGTGGAGAAAACAAAAATAGTCGCAGCTTGCCGGAAGCCCAGCTGTGTCTTCCAGGGGCCCTCTGCTCTCCGCAGGGGGCATCTTTCTTCCCTCCCAAAGTATGACCTCTGGTCCATGATAACAAAGTGAAAGCAGAACTCCAGCCCCTCCTGCAGCCCTAGGGCCACGGCAGGGTCACGTCAGGCAGTGTTCCCACTGCAGACCTCCAGGCTTTGTCCTGCCAATGCAGGGACCCTGCATTCCGAGTGCTCAGCCCACCAGACGTACCCATGAGGAAGTCGAAAATTGTCATGTCCATGATGTCCAGAACACGGTGGCCGCTATCATAGGGCGGTGTCTGCTTCACCTCCTCACAGTAGTCGGGGTCCACTTCCCACCTGCAGAGGAGCCCACGTGAGATGGGCCAGGCCCCTCAATATGAACAGGGTGGCCCAAACCAAATTCTGGGGGTGCCCAACTCAGTACACTGTGGAGGCAATGGACTGACACTGCAGTTGGAGAACAAAGTGTCTGCAAAGGGACGTGTGCCAGCAGGTGGCTACGAGGCTGCATTAACAGGAGTATAAGGTTGGGAGGTGATCAGGCCATGGTGCCCACCCTGGACTGACCATGCCTGGAAGTGACCATCAGCTCTGGCACCATGCTTTTTGGAGGTCACTGTTAAAAAATGGGGGCTGGGTGCCAAGGTCACAAGGATGTCTTAGTGGCTGCAAGAACAGGAGATGTTCTTCCTCTGCATGAGCAGAAAACCAAGCTCTGAGACATGGTATTTTGAAGGACCCCAGCGGGAGGCCAGCACCACTGGGGTGGGATAGGATGGGATGCCTCTAATTCTCAGAGTAAGGATGCTGTTTAATCATGAAGTGGTCATCTCACAGGCAGCCTGGATTTATGCCCCTTCTCTGCCACCCCTTCCCACATGTGGCCATTGACAATCTGATATCCCTCCCAGGCCCAGTTTTCTCAGCTGCAAGATGGGTAAAAGCTGTTCCTCCCAAGTCCCTGTAAAAGGGGCGGGTGCCAGCTGCGCCCAGGGTCTGCCCGGAGCCACTGGCATGCCTGCACTCACTCTGCCTTCTTGCGCTTGTGGTAGGAGCGCCGCCAGGGGTTCCGCCATGTCTTCCTCTTGGCCAGGGACAGGTCTGGCAGGAAGGCCGCCAGCGACCCCTCTATCTGGTCCGGCTTACCACACAGGGCATGCTCGGTGGAGCAGTAGTAGGAGCACTCTCCGTAGAAGCAGATGTTGTTGGCTGATGGGAGAGGGACAGACCGCTGGTTACCTGGAGCCACTCAGGGCCACATCCTCAGTGCAGCCCCTCCCCAGGATTTCTGTCCTGGGCCAGGCCCGACTGCACGTGCCATCCCATGGCCCTCCCAGGGCTGTGCCGGGCTTCTGCCTGGTGCTTCCCACGGACAGGACTCACCCACAATTCTCATATCGATCTCAGCAACCACCTCCACCCCCACCTTACAGAAAACAGAGCCCCACAGAGATGACTCTCAGAGTAACACAGCTGTTGGGGTAAGAGCTGGGACCTGAACGCAACTTCTTTCCACTCACCCTCAAAATTAAGGGACTGGAGTCTATGGAAATTCTAGAGTCAACATTCAATAGCTTAAAAAATGCATTTATATACTGTGAATGAAGTGAATACTCCTCCCAGAACGGTAGGAGATTTTTGCAAATCACTTCTAAGGATCTAGTATTCAGGATATATAAAGAATGCTTACAACTCAATAATAAAAAGATACATAACCCAATGAATAAACGGGCAGAGGACTTGTATGGACATTTCCCTGCAGAAGATATACAAATGGCCAACAAGCTCATGAAAAGATGCTCAATATCATTAGTCATCAGGGAAATGAAAATCAAATCCACAATGAGGTACCACCTCACACCCACTAGGATGGTTTTGATCAAAAGACTAGGTAATGGGCCGGCCCGGTGGTGCACTGCTACAGTGCGCCGCTTGGGAAGCGCGGCGGCGCTCCCGCCGAGTGTTCGGATCCCACATACAGACTGGTTCCCGCTCACTGGCTGAGCGAGGTGCGGGTGCGACACCGAGGGTTGCGATCCCGTTGCCGGTCCCGGTCCGGTACGGGTGCGACACTGAAGGTTGCGATCTGTTGCCGGACACGAAAAAAGACAAAAAAAAAAAAAAAAAAAAAGACTAGGTAATAACAAGGGTCGGCAAGGATGTGGAGAAACTGGAACCCTCGTGCACTGCTGGTGGGAATGTAAATGGTGCCACTGCTGTGGACAACAGTCTGGCAGCTCCTCCAATGGATAAACAGAGTTACGATGTGACCCAGCAATTCCACTCCTAGGTGTATACCTAAGAGAAATGAAAACACAGGTCCACACAAAAACTTATACGTGAATGCTCACAGCAGCACTATTCACAATAGCCAAAAAATAAAAACAACCCAAATGTCCATCAACTCATGAATGGAAAAACATAATTCGACTACCCACATGGTGGAATATTATTCAACCATAAAAAGGAATGCAGCACTGACCCATGCTACGACATGGATAAACCTTGAAAACATTTTGCTAAGTGAAAGAAGCCAGACAGAAAAGGACACATATTGTAGAATAAATCCACAGAGACAGAAAGTAGATGCGTGGTTGCAGGGGCTGGGGGTGGTGGGGAGATGTGGAGTGACTGCTGACAGGTACAGGATTCTTCTTGGAGTGATGAAAATATTCTAGATTTAGACAGTGGTGATGGTTGCACAACACTGCAAATATTCTGAAAACCACTAAACTATACACTTTAAAATGGTGAATTTTATGGTACATGAATTATATCTCAATAAAAAAGAATAATTTTAAAAACGCATGCCCCTTGCTGCCCAGGCCAGTTAGCAGCTGTGGTTCGCTGCTTTCCTGCTAGAAGCCCTGGCGGTTATCTCATGCTAATCAGAGGCCCGACAGACAGTTCTATTCACGTATTTATTTGCTGGCTTAATCTATGCTTTCACACTTTAATTTGTTGGGTGGAGAAACCCTTAAAAGCCTGGGGTTGTAGAACTATGGTAAGTAAACGCCTCTGGTCTTCAGTGAATCACGCCTCACTCACAAGCTCCCTCCAGCTAGTGCAGGCGGCCAATGCCCCAGACACACGGTTTCCTCCCTGAAGCAATACACTAAGGCTGAGCCACTCCCAGCATCTCTCCAGGGCTCTGGGAGCCTCCAGGCCACAGGGCAGGCTCCCGGTAGGAACAGAATGCAGGCTCGGAAGGTCACTTGTAAGCCACACAGGGTCGCAGGGTTGCAACGACTCGGAGAGGGAGGAGGCAGGTGAGCAAGCTGAGGTTGAGAGGGGAGGGCAGCCACTGCCTGGCCGACCCTGGGCCCCCGGCACACCCCTCAGGCACCCAGCAAGTCCTCGCCAGCTCCCGATGACCCTGTCATCTGCCTGTCCCCTCCCTTCCCCCGCCTCATCACCCAGAGCCGGCGTTGGGTAATTGCTGTAAGAATGATCGAGGGAAGATCAGCCTGTGATCTCGTCTGTGTGTCTACAGCTTAATCAGCAGTCCACAGTCGGACAATGCAGCCTCCACCGGGCAATGGCTCCATTTTCAGGAGGAAAATCTGTATCTGATCTCTCATTGGCTGGAGCCATCAAATCCATCCACTGTAATAGCCTCCCTGTGCTCGCCTAAAGCTGGTTTTAGATGGTATCAATGTTAAAAGAGAAAGGTATTTCACCGGCCCACAGCTTGTTCCTCATCAGAGATCCAAGTTCAGTTTTTAAAGGGACATCTAGGGTGGGATTAGGAGGAGGCTCTTTCCAGCTGTGTGACCTCAGATGAGGGGCTGCACCTCTCTGTTCCCAGTTCCCTCACCTGTGTTGTGGGGGGTCACAGCGGCGCCTGCTTCCTGGGCTGAGCATTAAAGAAGGTAATCCACGTGAAGGCCCCAGGTAAGTGGCCGGTCAAGCTGAGAAGCCATTATGAAGATTGCTTGGAGAGGGGTGGGCTTTTGGGGAGGAAAGAGCATGAGTCCTTTTCATCTTAGCAATAACAATAAAGACAGACAGCTGGGAGAAGGCCAGGGTCCCAGTTGAGCCCAAGAGAGAAGCTGCTTCAAATGCCCAGGACCACTCCTCCAATCACCTGAAAATGGGCCCACCGTTAGCTCCCGCCAAGGGCAGGGGGGCCGGCAAACGCATGGCTTTCTGCTAGGACCAAGAAGGTCTCTTCACCTGTGTGGCCTGAAGGCCTATGATCAGTCCTAGCAGGAAGATGAGTCTCTCAAGGAGGGTATGTCCGAGGCCTTTCTTGCCCACCCTGGACAGCTCCAAATGTGGGTGGCTGCAAACGCCAGTGACCATGACATTCTTCAGGGATGGTGGCTCTGGCCATTGGCAGAGGACCCACAGTTGGAAACCTCTCTCTTCCTCAATGTGCATTTAAACTGGACACTGTGTGGACAGAGTCCTGATGACTCCCTAGCCAAACCTAGGCCAACGTGGCAGGAAAAACTGTCAACTTAATGAAGCACAAAACCAACCTATGCTGAGTGGGGGCTGAGGGGCTGGGAGGGGTGGGGGCCTTCGGGAGCTGCTCACGACCTGTGTCTCATCACAGGATGGAGTTTGGATAGATGCCTTCACCTTGCAGAAACTCACAGAGCTGTGCAGGACAACCTGTGCACCTTTTAGGATGTTTGCAACATTTCGATAGATATTTACAGAAAAAGTGAAGAAGCATGTTCCTTGAGTGTTTGGAGCTGAGAAGACTTGGCCTCTGACCCCCGCCCTGCCTCTAGGCAGCTTCGTGGCCTTGGGGCACTTAACTGCCCTCTCTGAACGTGACTTCCACAATCCCTACATGGCACAGGAGGCTGGGAGCTATGGCACGAGGCTCAGAGGGCTCCAACTGGCCCTTGTTTCTCCTTCTCTCCCAGATTGCCCATCTTCCTGCTAACTGCTGGCGCTGAGCTGGGACGACTGGAGGTTCACCCCCTCCTCTGCTTCCTCCCATCTGCTCCTGGTTATCCCGCTGGCCGGATAGATTCTTCCCTTTTCTGAGTGACCCCAGAGGAGGGTTCCTGAGGCAGAAGGGATGTCTGCAGTGTCCTCTAGCAGAGCATCTATGGCAATTTGGCATTAGATGAGTCCAGAAGAGCAAGCAAAGCAAAAACGACACAAATCTGAACAGATTTGGTTTTCTAAAATGAGATCAAAGCTGGCTCCCGAGGCCCTGCTGTGTCAGAGAAAACCAAACAGTCCCAAAGGCTTTCAGAAGAAATCTGGCTGACAGGGCAGTCAGGGTGAAGGTGGCTGTGTCCAGAAGTGACTGGCAGAGCTAGCCTGGCAGCCCGGTCTCCTGTGGAGATGTTCAAGGACAACTGGCATCCAGGCACGTGTGAGCCAACGTTGGGGCACTGGGGGAGGGGCTCAGACAGTCAAGGGAGGTGCTCAGGACTTCACGGGAGCCATTGATAAACCTTCACTGGCCTGGAAACGTAATCAAGGGCTAGAAACTGGGAGCAGGAGGTTGAGCCATCAGGACCGACTAATCAGAGTGACAGCTCTGGTCAGATGTGAGAAGAGATTCCAGCGATGACCTTCCGAGTGGTGGTTATAAGTGGCTTTACTGTCAGGAGCTCACGGAAGGCACCAGGTGACCGACAGCTCCCTACCTGCAGAGGTCAGGGAGGAATTCCAAAACGTCAACCAGAATGGGAGGTGGAAGTGTCTTAACTTATCTGCTTAGACTAATAATTAACTCAGTCTTTTGTTTGTAAAAACAAAAGCCAGCAAAAAGACTCCACAACCCTTTACTAGCACAAAATGTACCTGAAAACACCAGTGCTAAAAATTGTGGAACATGGATGGTGTCAGTGGCTTCTTCCTTGAGATCCCAAAGCCAAACGCCTGTGCCCTCATGAACAACTTGTTTGTCAGCAGGGCTGCCCGCGAGGCCCCTTTGTGCTGGAGCAAGTAGAATTCAGTGTAGAAACTTCTTGATTTGCTTCCCTTTCCTGAGTTTTCAAACCCCAGTTCCTCCGCTTCATTTTGGGCAAGTCACTTAACTGCACCTGCACAATGCCCCTCAATGCCCCGTGAACGGATAAAAACAAAGTGCAGAACTCCACCCAGGGGAACCACGCTCCGCTGTAAGGAGAAACCAACTGCAGACACATGCAATTACGTGGGTGAACCTAAAAATTATGATGTTGAGTCATAGAAGCCAAACAAAAGAGTACATTCTGGGTGCCTTCACGTGTACAAGATTGTAGAAAAAGTAAACCAATCCACAAGACAGAAAGCAGATACAACACTGTCGAGGGAGGAGATGGGAAGGGGCTGGAGCAGACTTGGGGGTGGATGAGTCCACGCTTTCCACTGGGGCGAGGCTTTGCAGGTTTCACGTTACAGGTGCATACATACACTTTATATATAATGTACCAAACTTACCAAACATTACACATTTTAAATGTGTGCTATTTGTTGTATGTCCATCATATCTCAATAAAACTTTAAGAACAGTGATGAAGACACAATCCACCCCTGCCAGCTGGTCCTTAGAATTCAATGAGAAATCACTCAGCAAGCTCTCCGGCCGCTCTTCCTGTGCTCCTGCCGCCTGGGATCCTTCCCAGCTTGGGCAGAGTGGTTTCCAATGGACATGTGCTGGTGGGAATGTGAAGGTCCTGTCCTTGTCCCCATGGGGTGGGGCTTCCCGACAGGACTCTCCCTCCCTGTTCACATCCGGCTGGCCAGAACTGGATCTGTCTGATGGATCTGGGGGAGTTGCTGGCCCTGGGTCCACCTGCTCAGGGTGCTTGGTACTGCCCTGCCCACATCTGGACGCTGAGCAGGTAAAAGGGGCATTTTGACCCCTCCCTGCCTGGCCCTGTGACCTCTTTCAGTCAGTGCTGAATTGAGATCCTCAGAAATTAGGCCTGGTCTGAAATGTAAAGCATCAAGTCTATGCTGGAAGAATGTTAGCAATTGCTGAACTGAGCAGTGTGCACCTGTGCATGGGGGAATGTTATTCTCTTCGCTTTTTTTTTTTTTTTTTTTTTTCTTTTTTTTTTTTTTTTTATGACCGGCAACGGGATCGCACCACGCTCAGCCAGTGAGCGGGAACCAGTCTCCACATGGGATCCAAACCCTCGGCGGGAGCGCCGCCGCACTCCCAAGCGGCGCACTCTCCAGTGCGCCACCAGGCCGGCCCTCTCTTCGCTTTTTGAAACTTTGAAATATATCACTATGAACGCTGCAATAAAAATTGTAAGAAGAAATGGATATGAAGTAGCCAAGCATCCAAGCACAGCCTGGGTGGCAGCTTGGGGATGGTGGTGGCATGGGCTGGGCACAGCCAGACTGTGAGGTGTTCAGACACTATGAGCAGTGGCTGGACGCTGGAGGAGCTGGGATGTGAGGTTGTGGGGAGGGCATCAGGGCTGACCTCCAATCCACCAGGGGCTGAGGAGAGAAGGAGCTCAGATGCACCTGTGGGATCCCAGGAGGAAGCCCTGGAAGCCCCGCTTGGGGAGGTGGAGTTTAGCCCTTCAAAAAGAAGGACCTTTACAGCTCAGCCTGCCCACACAGGGACTGAGTTATCTGTGAGGGCATGCACGCTGCGGCTGTGGGTCCTGCTCAGGTGGGGCTGACCGAGAAGCCCTCAAAGACCCTCCAAACATATGGGCTCTTATCCCGCCTCTTGATTTCTGGTCATGTGAGTCCAGGCACGTTCTTCCCTGCCTTTTGGGGGGATTTCTGTCCTACTTTTATCTTATGAAAGGGCTCTGAGAGGAAGAAACCATACGAGGATCGCAGTGAACACTGAATGCAATAATAGAGCTTAATTAGATTCTGCATTTACGAATGCAGTTGAGAAAAAATGCAGAGTATACTGATCTGAAACATCTACAAGAAACGGGCTTTTAGGCTGAGCTTTTGTGTGCCAGCAAATCTGAAGACACAGCTAATCAAGGGCCTTAATTGGATTTTATCTGCCTGCACTAAACAGACACAGGTAGAGTGTGGCTGAGGCATTCCTGTAGCGTGAGCCGCACCAATCAAGAGTATCTTTCCCAGTGTGTGGAGTGTGTAGAGTCCCCCCAGTGACTGCCTGGTCACTTCATTCCTCTGCCCAGCATCGCGGGAACCACTCAAGCACCTTTAATGGAATGTAAGTGACAAAAGTCCTGGGGACGTGGGAGGACTTCACCAGAGCTCAGGACAAGTGATCAGGGATGGACCAGTCAGCAGAGCCTCAAGTGCCAGGTTGAAAGCAACCTGGGGCAGATGATTAAGCAGAATATCATTTGTGTTTATGTGCACACATAAGATGTAAGATGTAAAGTCTTGAATATTTTTATAAACTTCAGCACCTCGGTAGATATATCTATTTCCACCCAATATGCAGGGCATCCTGTGCCAATCCTCCAGGGACACCAGGGATGGGTGAAGCTGCTGCTCTGGTCCCTGTCACTATATGAGGGTCCTGCTGGGGTATTTTTTAAATCTGGAGAGGAATCTAGAGAACAGAGGTCACCCCTGGTGGGGCTACCTGGAGATGACATCCTGGAGAAGCTGGGAGTTTCCAAAAGTGAGTTCATTTTGCCTTTTAAAATAAACAAAATGGTAAAAATAACCTCTATGCCCAGCAAAGAGGATTAATTCAATAATGCTGGGACAACCATTTCTGGCCACCCTTTCAGCCTGCAGGACAGATCGACACGCACAGATGTGGAGGGCCCACGGCACGTCCGAAAGTGGAAACAGCAGGTGGAAGAATGTCATTCCACAGCAACTTCTCTTTTATGAGAGAGGAACCAAGCTCACGGTCACCGAGTGTGCACGTGACGGTGGCCCCTGTGCAAGCCTACCTGGAGAGATGAAGAAGGTTCTCCACAGCTTCTTGTCTCGAGTGACGTCCCGGATTTCCTTGGTCATGTTGACCATCCTGCCAGCCACCGGAGGCACTCGGCGGAAGTCCAGGATCCTGGCAAGAAAGGGGCAGGAAAGGAGGCCTCACTCTCCACGGCCCCTCCTGGCAGCTCCCAACAGCCAGCCCGAGTGAAGCACAGTTCTCTGCCTTTGTGGAAACCAACCCTGGGGGCTCAACCTGGGACTGGCAGTAACGGGGGCAGAAGTGGACCCAGAGGACTGAGGCTGACGACGCTTCATTGACTGGCATCGGCCTTGCCAAGTGCCTCAAGAATTTAAACATGCCCTCATTCCAGGGCTAAACTTAAACTGAAATTGAATTAAATTGGCCACTTCTAATGGCACTCTTTCTGAGCTGTGCTGTGTGTGTTGCGCTTGCTTAATTAAGTGGAGAATGCTGGAGGTGACCATTCTCTGATGATACAGGATGTCTCCATGGGCCTGCACCGTTGTTGTGAAGGGACAGTGGTGTCCACCATCGACCCAAGCCCCAGGCCCAACGGGAGGGGCTGCAGAGCCCCCGCCACCCCCTCCCCACCCCATCGACAAGCACCCGAGCAAAGGGATCCTGCATTTCCTAATAAGTGATGGTAGCTTCATGGCTTTAAGGGATTTCTGTAGTCACCACGTAAGATTTTTTTTTTTTTTAAAAAGGGGGGGGGCTTTCAAACGAATATGCACATGAATCACCCAGGATCTTGTTAAAATGCAGATTTGGCCGGTGCATCTAGGTGGAGCCCAGGACTCTGCATTCTAACCAGCCAGGGCACAGGAGAGGATGCCAATGTGGCCAGCTGCCGCCATGCCCTGGCCAAGACACACTCCAGCCGCGGCCCCATGGGGCAGGCTGGGGAGAGTCCAGAGGACCAAGGGTGGGTGCTTCCTCCCCTCCACTCTGCCTGGGTGGGAGTCTCTCAATCCTCTGGAACCCTCGGAGCTCACCCCAGGGTCAGGCCCATGAAGTGCCCCTCAAAGACACAGATGCTGAGCCCAAGGGGCTGCTGAGGAGCCCAGTTCACAGAGCTACATGTCGGCCATCCTCCCACGTCCCCAGCAGCAAGGGGCCAAGCGGAACCTAAAGAGTGATTCACGCTCTGCTGGGTCAGAGCCATTCCTCAGGAGACAGGTGGCCACACGGGTCTCCCACTCACTCTCACCATGAACGCCACTTCCTCCAGGAAGCCTTCTTTGGTGGCCAAGAGAAGTTCATACCCCATGATCCTTAACACTTAATACTCCTTCCTTCCCTCCCTCCCTTCCCTCTTTTCTTTTTCCTTTATTCCCAACTATACACCTACCTACCACCTGCCCGCAGCTGCTCCTTGTACCTCCCATTTGCCAGGCACTGTGGTAGGTGCTGGGTACGTGGGAGGAGATGCCTTCCTAGATTATAAGAACCATGACAGCAGGGACCATTTCTCTCTGTTAAAGAGGAATGGTTAAGGAATGGGACTCAGGGCAAGTAATTTCTCACAGTGCCTCAGTTTTCTCATCTGTAAAGTGGGGATATGGCAGTACCTACCTATAGGGTATGGTGAGGGCTAAAAGAACTGATATGTATACAGTACTCTGAACAGAGCAGCCACTGGACAAAGAGTAGCTATGAGTGTTGTTTATTGTCACTACTGTGTTCCCAGTGCCCAGAACTCGTCGCAGGTGGTCACTAACGGATCTGGGTAAATGATGGCATGACCGAATGAATGCAGGATTGGGCTGCACCGGCAACAGCTCCTCCTTGGGGAGGACAACAGAAGGAAGGGCTCACCTGTCCAGGTGGAAGGCAGCGATCTCCGCATTGTGCCTCTCGTAGTCGGAGAAATAAAAAAAGTCAGGAGGTGTCTCCTGCTCCCTCGTTTGCCTAGAGAAAGTGGGACAAAAACAGAAAGGGTCTGTCACTGAGAAAACTTGCAGTTTTAGGGTGCATGCCGCAGTGCGCTGGACCCAGCTTGTACCAGCTGTCAAGAGCTGACTTAAATTTCCAAGAACTTTGCTAACTGGTTGTTAAACAGAGTCATCATTAAAAATTAAATTACATAAACTTACAGCTAAATACATTATATTTCTAAAGCAATAAGTACCTAAATCTCATCACTTTGTAATTGTTTTGCTTCATTTTACTATTTCCTCTGTTCCTGAGGTTATATACGAGTCTCGTATCCGCAGGGTGGATGCTGTGCGTTTCTTCCCAACTCCGCACTAGTGACCTCATGTTGGCAGTTTGAAATCAGCCAAGCGGGAGGTATTTACACCATGGAAACTGGCAAACTCTACAAATCAGGCTTTTCCCCCTGGGGAATTGGCTATTAAATATTTATCGGCCCACTACCAGGTCCAAGCCACCAGCCAAACACAGATTCTCAGCAAAGCTGATGTGCAAAAGGCAGCTCTTGCCTCTGGGCCCAGAAACTTGGACTGAGTGTGGGCCATGGAGCAGTGGATGGGAGGGCAGGGCAGGCCCTGGTGGCAGAGGAATTGCCCCTAAATTGGACAAGACACAGACTTCTGTAGGGTGTGGGTTCAGGGGCCAGGGTCAGGCTGATAAACCATCCCTCAAACCTGCCCTTAGTCACCCCATCAGATGCTGGGAAGAGAGGAGGCTGGGAGGCCCTCCCGGGGCCATCTGGGGCCCCCTTTCTGAAGTCTATAAAAGGTGATCTATCTTTCAATGCCACTTCCTTTCCCACCAGGGCAACCTGCCCACCCTGCCTCAGCTCCTTCTGCCCTCTTTCCCATCTCCCAGGCTTGAGTCACCACCATCTGCTCTTTCTCACACTTGTCCCCCGGTCCTCCAGTCTCTTGTCTTTGCTTACACTGTCCCATCTTCCTGGAACATCTTTCCCTTCACATCTCCAAATGGCTAAGTCAGCATTTCCAAGTGTGTGTCCCACGGAACACTAGGCCCTGGACTTCCCAGCACACAAGGCACCATCAGAGAAGTTTGAAGTTGGGTAATAGTGCCTATGGGAGCCCCCTCTGGGGTCTCAGCAGTCCACATTCCCACTGCAAAGGCTCTGACAAGGCCCGCAGCCAGTTCATAGGGCCCACTCCAGTCTGCATTGACTGAGGAACTCATTTTGTTCACAGCATGTTACCTCGCCCTGCACTTTTGAGAACCATTGATTTAAGCTTTAATTGCAAGTCACTTCCAAGCTCCAGCTCAAAGGCAAAATCCACAAAACCTTCTGGAAGTTGCACCAAGGATGAGTGGCTATTCCCCCCATACCCTCCCCAGCCTAGTGAGTGACACGAACACTCTGGAGCAGCAGATATGCTCCGCACCATGAAGTCTGACACAAAGCCTGACCTGGCCCACCGGCGTGCTGCTGCCTCTCCTGCAGTGGCTGTGGCTGGCAGCTGGCCCCTCGCACTTCAGTTTCCCCATGAGAAGTGAGGGGTTTGGGGGTGCTAGGGATGGGGGTTTGATGGAGTTTGGATGTGTTGTCCCCTTCAAAACTCATATGGAAATTTGATCTCCAATGTGGCAGTGTTGGAAACTGATTGAGTCATGGGGGCGGATCCCTCATGAATGGATTAATGCTCTCCCTGGGGGAGGGGTATTAATGAGTGAGTTCTCGCTCTATTAGTTCCCGTGAGAGCTCATTGCTTAAAAAGACCCTGGCACCCCCTCCTCCCTCCCTCCCTCCCTCCCTTTCTCTCTCTCTCTCCCTGTCTTTCCTTCTTTCTGTTGGTCTGTCTTTCTGTCTTACATAAAGTACAGTCATCCCTTGGTAACCGTGGGGGATTGGTTACAGGACCCCAGTGGATACCAAAACCCATGGATGCTCAAGTCCCTGATATAAAATGGTATAGTATTTGCATATAGCCTATTCACGTCCTCCTGTAAACTTTAAATCATCTCTAGATTACTTATAATGCCTAACACAACATAAGTGCTATGTAAAACGTTGCTATACTGCATTGTTTATGGAATAATGACAAAAAAAAGTCCATACATGTTCAGTACAGATGCAATTTTTTCTTCTGAATATTTTCAATCCACAGTTAGCTATCCACAGATGTGGAACCCATGAATACAGAGGTTTGATGGTATGTCTCTGGCTTTCCTCTAGAGAAGGAGGAAAAGGAAGCATTAACTTTATGTTCCTCCAGTTGGGTTATAGTCTGTAAATTAATCCCCTCCACAGGAAGATATTCCCAAATGAACACAGTTACCTTGGAGGAAGCAGGGCTAATTTACCTCCCTATTATGGATACGACTTGGGTGCCATACCCTGAATCTAAGAAACACAAATTGATACTGATGTAAGCTTTTTTTTTTTTTCCTTTTTGTCTTTTTTCGTGACCGGCAATGGATCGCAACCCTCAGTGTCGCACCCGTACCGGACCGGGACCGGCAACGGCAACGGGATCACAACCCTCGGT